AGTTGTCTAGTTTCTGAAACTTTTAAAATGGTAATATATAAAATTGAAAAAAATGGAGTAACAAGTGCTTTATTTTTATAAAGTTATATATGTGCTTCATCCAATAAGTGGACTATAGCCCGTCTTGTATCATCATTTCCTAAAAGGCCAACACGTACCTGGCCCAGAAGTCGACGATTCCTTTTAAGCTATGCTTCACACATTGACGACTCCACTTGTCATGGTTGAAATCAAAGTGATGTACATATAAAAAGTATTTAGAAGTGAGAACATGTATTTGCTAAATGTTTATTTAATTTAAAAAATAAAGTAAGAAACGTTTTCATATAAATAGACTTACGAGACAAGATGCTAAAATAGATTGATATAGTTAACAAAAACATACATTGGGTGATTATTCTATCAAAGTTCATTATTTATCTAAGTACTATTTTTTACATGACTTGAATGTGCTTTGTGAAATGTGAATCTTATTTAAAGATAATGTTACTTTAAACTAATCAATTTTCCCAATATAAAAGTTACCTGGACCAGCATGAAGAGACGATTCCTTTTAAGCTATGCTTCACACATTGACGACTCCACTTGTCTTGGTTGAAATTAAAGTGGTGTACATATATAAAGTATTTAGAAGTGAGAACATGTATGTCCTAAAAGTTAAATTAATTTAAAAAATAAAGTAAGAAAGGTTTTCATATAAATATACTAACGAGACAAGATGCTAAAATAGATTGACATAGTTAATAAAAACATACATTGGGTTATTATTCTATCAGAGTTCATTAATTATCTTAGTACTAGTTTTTTACACGACTTGAATGTGCTTTGTGAAATGTTAATCTTATTTAAAGATAGTGTAACTTTACACTAATCAATTTTCCCAATATTAAAGTTAGTGAATCATTGTAATTTGAAATTGATATTCATGCCTAACACAAAAGTTATTAACTTTAAATAGTTGGTCAGTTTTGATAACATTCAAAAATATAAAAGGGTTCATCGAAAGTACTTACAATAAACACATAATTACAAAAACAATAATATCTTTAAACAAAAATAAATATAATTTTCAGAAATGATATTTCAAGGGGGATAGAGATATATTGTACACATATCATATCTGTATTTCTTATAGATGAAAAAATTATTTCCAATAAACACCATACTTTTAATAAAGCATATTCCAACAAATAGGAAAAAGAAAATTTGGGTAAATGAGAATTGTAGCAACAACAAGAAAAATGAAAAAACATGATTAAGAAATAAAATCAATCTAGTAGTTTTTCTAGGACGCAAAAACCCCATATAAAAAGCATGTATGAATAATTGAACAGAGAGTTACACATCATTTAGATGATCGAATAAGTTGCAAGAAAAATTCACATGATGGCAGAAAATATACTCGACTTACAATAAGTTCTTTGCTACCAGAACTAACTAAACTAAGATAGTATAAAAGAATAATAAAATATGTAATAACAAGTGAAACCAAATTAAAAATATGAATTTCATGGTAATAAAAATATCTCAGATGGAACTTGGAACTTACTATCCTCTGCTAAGAAGACAAAGATTTACTTCCATAAAAAGGATGATTCATGCAGATCAACATGTGAGTCCAACTACATTGTTATATATTTGAAAAAGGTTGACCTCCTTACTTATTTCATGTTACACTCCTCTTCCCGCCAAATCCCTTTTCTCCTCAGTTCACTAAAAGAAAATGAAATATAATGAAAACAAAATAAAGCATATAACATTTATTTTTAGCACAAAAGTAGACAAAGATAGCTTAAAAAATATTTTGGCCTCGCAAATAAAACAAGCTCGTAAAAAAAATGAGAATGAAGGATAAGATTGGGTGTCAACAATCATTCTTTCATTGGGATAAAACTTCAGTTGTTGTTATATGAAATCCAAATATAAAGTAATTTTACGCATAATTTTGGTATGACTTACTAAGGTCAACTATAACACTTCAAAAAATTGAATTAGATTTGAGTCATTAAATTTCATTGCTTTGACTGAGATATGCTAAAGCAAATGTAGATATAGTAAAAGCTAATATCTTTTCATGTTGAAATCAAAGAGCATTTAAAATATCAAATTTTGATCGTCGAGGTATGACGAATATATGGACGGTAAATGTGACACACAAACAGTCCGCACGTCCAATCATATGTGAGATTTAGAAGGTTATAAATTTTGAAGTGGAACTAGAGAATTTTCATAATTTTTTTAAACCTTTTAGGAAAGAAATTAAACATATATTGTTATAAAATTTTAATTTGAATAGCATGTTGTTTAACAGAAGTGATATTATAATTAAAAGCTCATATTTAGGCTTGTTACTCGTAAGTCTTCAACATTGACGACCGATAATCTTAAACACCCAGTGTGTACGTCCTTTTCCCTTAGGATCATTTATCCTCAATATATGACAACACGTTAATCATCGATTTTCTCAAACAGAGGTCTTGGGCATTCAAACTCACATAATTCTATGTTTTAAGAAATTTTAATCAATTATTTAAAGACTATTTTATTACATCAGAGGTTTGCATGATCATATCAAACTCATTCATAAAGCTTCAACCCCATTAAATTCTCTTGAGCAGTTCATATGCTTAAAAAATCATTTTATGTGATTTCTAGGTTCCTCAAATTCATAATTAAGTCAAGGTTTCTAATTCTATACTAGTCGACAGAGTTTAACGGACTAAAATTGAAACTTGTTCATAATTAACCTGTCCCACATGTTCCATTAAAATAATAATTCTAGGTTTCAATGTGTAAAATCCTATGAAGAGCATATCTTTAAATTCAGGGAGGACATCGAAGTATGAAAGGAACAAATGAATGAACCGAAAACACTTACCTCAAGAGAGAAAATCACAAAGTCTTACAAAAATCTCCTCTAGGGTTCTCTAGTAAAAAAATTACGTTAGGATTAAATCTGAATGAAACTAGCTTAAAAACACAAGTTACTATTTCCCGACCTTCACTATAGCGAAACTTCGCTACCTTCTCTAGGTAGCATTCCTTCGTTATAGCTATCTCACTATTTAAAGAAGTTTTCGTTATAGGGAAGCACAAGCTGAATTTCACACTCGATTTTCCATTTTTAGATTTCTACCAACTCTTAACCCACGGAGATCTACACAAGGGTACTATCATCTAAACAATAATAACGATGGAAAAAGTCGTTATGTATTTGCGTAATAATCTTAATTGTAGTCAAATAGTTGTTATCTACTGAAACTTCATTGAGGGAGAGTTTTCTCTATTGAGGATAATGAGTATGTTATTTAATGCAAATTGTCATATTTTGTTGATAAAACAATAAAGTCATGAGTGTCAGACAAAATGTTGGCTAGTTTTGGACATCATTCTGGTTTCATAAATTTTCATTTGGACAAAACTTCACACTTTTATCTGAATTGTGACGTATGAAAGCCAATCGGATATCTTTGCCCAATAATTTCTTATCGTGTACAAAGTGTGCAAAAAGGTTGAAAATAGAAAAATTTGAAATATCAAATTTAGATTGTTGAGGTATGACATATATGCAGACTGTACATGTGAAAAGAGAAAGGTCTGCATGTCTAATCATATATGAGGTTAAGAAGGTAAGAAGTTTCAAGTGGAACTATAGAATTTTCATAAATTTATAGGCATTTTAGGCTTGCTAGTGCGGGTTACCTATCCTATTTGATTTGCGAGCTATTGCATAAGAGGGGGGTTTTTACCCTGTGCGCACACAAAGGATAGCGGTTGCGGGTTTCCCTTGTCATCAAAAAAATATATTGAACAAAAGTTGTGTTGTAATAGAACTCCCATATTTAGACTTATTACTCGCAAGTTTTCAACATGAGATGACGGACAATAATAAAACTCTCTAATTTAGACTCATCACCCGTAATTTCTCAACATGAGACGACGAACAATCTTACCCTAAGAAGTATTCATTCTCGAAATGTGACAACACATTAATCATCTTCTTTCTCAAACAAAGGTCCTGAGTATTCAGACTCACATAATTTTGCCTTTTTAGAAGGTTTAACCAATTATTTAAAGATGATTTTATCAAATAGAAAGTATACATGATCATAATGAAGTTGTGAAGTTTCGCTACGGAGAAGATCGGAAAACAGTAAATCGCGTCTTTATGTTAGTTTTTGTCCGTACTTAGTCATAATGTAAAATATCTGACCAAAGAACCCCAGAGACGATTTTTCCAAGACTTGGGGTTTTTCTCTATTGAGGTAAGTATCTTCCGTTCATTCATTTCTTCCATATTTTGGATAACTCCTAGAACTGAAAAGAATATCCATAGGATTTCGTCCATTGAAACCTAGGGTTATTATTTTGATGGCAAAACATGTGGGGAAAGTTAATTATGATGATCTTCAATTCTAGTCCGTCAAATCTTGCCTTTCTAGTATAGATTTATGAACCTAAAGAAACCCCATAAAAATTGATTCTTTGAGTGTATGAATTGCTCAACAGAAATTAATGAGGTATAAATAGTGATCTAGTTATTACAAAGAAACTGTCCATTATACTGAAACACAAGCAGATTTTCGTACTCGGTTCTCCATTTCCGAATTTCTACCACACTCTTGACTCACAGAGATCTACACAAGGGTACTATTGCCCTGAACAACTATAATGACATAATAGGTCATTACAAATCTGCTGAATAATCTTAAATTTCTACCGACTCTTGTCATATTTTTGTTGATAAAACAACAAAGCCATGATTGTCGAACAAAAATGTTAGCTAGTTTTGGAAATCATTTTGTTTACATCTGGACAAAACTTCACACCATACTAGACCAGTTTTACTTCTATGAACTCTACCAAGTTTTGATGTGATGATGGGGGTAAGGTGCTAATTTTTTAAGCTTTTGTTGTTGCCAGAACTATGTAGTATGGTTCGGCAACTGCCTTGTTAGTAATGTATTGTCATTGCAAACAAATGCAGGCAGATGGTCATGTTAGTTTGAAACAACACATGGAGGCTTCCATGTTATCATACACAATAGAGGACAAGCTTAAAGAAGTTTTAGTAGCTTAAGCTATTCAATAATCCAATGGTCCATTAAAAACTAATGGGGTGGTGAGTTAAAGAATGTACATTTTGGGATAGATATTTTGTTCTTGATGGTGATCAAACATCATCAACATCACTTCCTGCAACATGAATATCATGACTAGCCGAGTAATGGCTTACATCAGGGCCACAAATCTTAAACCTGTTGAGTATAAAAGAAAGTACCTCAGTGAGGACTTATTATATGTTCCTAACTCAATTGTAAAGAAAACTGAAGTAATCAACTGACCGCTCAAGAACTGATTTTCCTTCTTTGTACTTTTGGCTCATCTCATGGGCGGTCTCCTGAAAAGAATCGTCATATTAGGAACAACTAAAACTTCTAGCAACTGCCAAAAGACAATGTCTAGCATTTTATCACTCCATACTCAGATATTTCCATCCAACATTTGACCCACAACAGACACAGAAAATGTCTGCCACAGTGTGCATACCAGTCATCATCATTCTATTTTCTATCTCACAAGAAGTTACATTCACACTGTCAAAAGAAACAAAAGGCGTATAGAATACACAGAATTACAAAGTGCATTATCATTTTGTATGTTTATGCTAAATGATAAAATTAAATGAAGAGGTTTGAGAAGAGCAGAACTCTTGAACAGGAGCAATCAAGTGGAGCATAATATATGTATTCAGCCATGTAACTATTGTAATGCTGCTACCAAGTGAAAAATAACCCAAGTCAAGTAAGAAGTTACTCTATATATTGATGTGTTAATGTTTGTACTCCTGGAAATACATTCAAAAGTACACGATATAATAGTCTGGTAAAATCCCCACTAGGTTCTATAGTAAATCCAGTAGATCAAATTCTGGTGCTAATTTTATAGTCAATGACACAAATGTATGAAGATATACATATAAAGTACCATAATAATAATGACTCGGAGCTAATAAAAAAATCAAAGATCCTGAGAACTATGTGACCCACGTAGAGTATAAGCCAAATAACTTGCACATACTCCAGTTGCACTCAACTTTTGAAAACAAATCTTTTTTCATTTCAAATCTGAAAATTTTGGCTAACTACTACCAAACACGAATTCTTCAACACTTCATCTTTTTTCACTTTCTAGCTTAACAATATCCTCCAAACCAGTAAAAGAAGAGGTGGAAGTCAAATAAGAGGATTTATACGGTAGCTTTTTCATCTTTCTGTACCATAGGTATGGATAAGCTTGACCGCCGTAATATCATTTTGTTCATCTAAACAAGCTACAAGCAACTTATGTCCCATCAATGCCAAGAAAAGCTTAGCAACAATCAGATACTCTAACAAGAATAAAACAAACAGAACTTGTAAGTTGCACTTGTGATTTTCATGTTGCAAGTTAAAAAATTGGACATGAGAAAATGTCACAAACATATCTGATGATTGAATGTGCAAATCAAATAGACTTACACCTTCCTGAAGAGATAAGCCTTCCCATGACTGCACTGGAAAGACTGAAGGAAAGATTAGAAGGAAAACATAGAGTTAAATAACTTCATGACTCAGAATGAGTACAAACATTACTTAAGGGCTCAAACAAGAATGTAACATAAACATCAATATAATTAATTGCAGAATCAGCATTTCACTATATCCAAAAGCATTTGAATTTTCTAAGAAACAGTAGTTTCAAAGCTGCAACACTTCACAATGATGTCTTATTTTATGCTATAGAAGTCATATGGAATTCTTCATAGAAAGTTATGAATGCACACTACAATGAAATTAAGCAAAATGAAGAGACCAAGCAAGCACCAAATTGATAAAAATGTAGAAAATAGATCAGGACCTGATCAACAGACTGGGCATAACAATAATATTTTGAATATTCAAGCCACTAGCAGAAAGCCATGGAACAAATAGAAAATGTCAATCAAGTATACTCCAAGTATCAGACTCAACAAACAACTCCTCTAATCCAGCAACTCCACAAAACCCAGTTCTTTGATGCTAAAACCCCCATCTCCTTTGGGGGAAAATTTACTCAATCTAAGACATTCTTCGCTCACATAACTGATTTCAATTAGCCAATCTTTATATACATCTAAAATTACTGAAGCAAACCAACAACAATCCTTAACAAGTTCTAGAAACAAAACCACCGATCAAGACAAAGATAGTATTTTTATAACGAAACAAATCAAAATCAAAATTAAATTTCAAGAAATCACAACAACAGAGTGATCAAACAGAAAAGATGGAGTTAAACCTTGGAAACAATGTTTTCAGAATGGGCAAGATGAATTCCACAGTGCTTACAGCTGTAGATGTTGCCTTCAAGAGTCAACACAAATAATCTCCCCATCAAAGATTTTTGAGATCACAAGAAAATTGAAGAACGAAAATGGAAAAGGAGTTATCCAAAAAGGGCTAATAGTTTATGATTCGGCTGGAAGATATTAGTAAGTAACGTCAAGAAAGGAAAAGGACTCAAAATGGAAAAGATCAAAATGATAAAAGAATAGGCCTCGTTTGGTAGGAAGCCGAAGGAGGAATAGTCTTAGTATTAGTATTGTGATTGGTATTGATATTAAGTGAAAATTTTTATTATATGCGGGATATAATTACAGTCAGTTGTACGAAGCTTATTTGGCTGTCACATGTTAATGGGACCTACTTTTCACTTTCATTTTATTTCATTTCATTTCCTTTTCTCTTCTATTTTAATCTTTTATATTTTACTTTTACTGATCTCCTCCCAATTCTTTCTTGCTTTTTTCTATTTGTTATTATTTCCTCCGTTCGATATTATTCGTCATGTTTTTTTATTTTTAGAGTCAAATTAAAAAAAATTGGACTAACATTTTAAGATGTACCTTTTTATTACATTAATATGCAAAAAATTATAATTTATAGTACTTTTCATATAATTTTAGAATATCTAATTTTTTTTGTTTAAAATATCGAATTAATGTGATCTAATTTACCTTTGAAAATAAGTCAATTGACTTTCGATAAGCGCAACATGACAAACAATTCCAGACGGAGGGAGTAACATTTAACAATTTTTTATTTTTGTATTGATTTTTTTCAATCCGACATCTGCATTAAAATTAAAATTTAAAACTTAAAATTGTGTAAGGCTTTATTTGAAGAGATACACAATTTATCAAGAATTATTTTCATATTCAAAATTTGAACTCGATACTTCTAATTAAGTAAGAAATAATATCGTCCTCTAAAGCATCATATGTTTGAGGAAAAACCAAAATGAATGCGTAGAAATATTTAAATTTAATTTTTTTGATGAGTTTTACGAAATTGCTCGTTTGGATGCACTCGCAAAGGATTTAGAGAATTCTAAGGTTGTTTCTGATTCAAATGAAAATACAAGTCAGCGTCGCGTTTGGAAGGGAAAAAATAAAGGGGTAGGAGGGTCAGATTCAAAAGTAGGAGGAAGTTTCATCATTTCTCACATACGAAGTTGGATTTCGCATGATTTAATGGCCAAGAGGACCCTTTGGGATGGTTGAACAGATGTGAACACTTCTTTCGATACCAACAAAATCCAGAAGAAGAAAAGGTTGGACTTGCTTCTTTTCATTTAGAAGGCAATGCACAACTTTGGTTTCTTCAAGTAGAGATAGGTATTTCTCAATCATCTTGGGATGAATTCAAACATCAATGTAACATTCGCTTTGGGCCACCAATTAGAAGTAAAAATTGGGAGAATTGGCTAAATTATGCCAGATAGGGCTGTGAAAAATTACCAAGGAAAGTTTGAGCAATTAATTCTGCGGGCTGGTACACTCACTCAGTCGCAAAAAATTGAACTTTATATCAGTGGTCTAGCTGATTATATAACATTTGTCTACGACAATGAGTTTATCTAGACTTTATGAACGCAAGGAACAACCCATTTGTTCACAATTGTTAGTTGATTGCCAAATCAAAAACAACATGTTTCTCGCCTCAACAACATGTCAGATTTGTGAAGAAACTGAACAGTTCTGAAATGGAGGAGAGGCAACTTAAGGGACTTTGTTTCAATTGTGATGAAACCATTCGCCTGAGGTCATCAATGCAAGAAATTATTCTAGATTGACTTTATAGACGAAGTCAATCCAAGACACCAGATTTCTCACCGCATTTAGCGCTTGAGGACAAGCGCGATTTGAAGAAAGAGAGTAATTTTATCATTCATTAGTCATCCAATAGTTACAACATTAGTTATTTCTTTTTAACAGTAGTCATTTCCTTTTAGTAGTAGTCATTTTCCTTTAATAGTGCAGTTTTTCATTCCACTAATGTTAAGAAGTCATGTCCTAATTTATCGGAGTAGTTATCTCTTTTAAGTATTGTATTTAAACTATTTGTTTGTCTTAGCAAATGTAAGAAAAAAAGTCATTTAAGTTTTTGAGTACTGTAACTCGAGAGATTGCAGGTTCTCTATTAACGAGCCAACATCAATGGTCATAAGAAGAGAACTTTTTATGTTTCAGCATCGCATAACTAGATCCATAATAGGGGCCATTACATATTATCTCCATCTTTTTGGGTGAAAGCACAGAGAAAAATGACATTGCCGAAAAATTAACAAGGTAAACTTGTGTAGGTAAGATAATTCAAGCAAACTTGCGCATCAATATTTGAGTTAATTTTCCGAGATGGTCACTCAACTAATTTTTATTATTCTCATCATCTTGTGCAAAAGCACAGAGAAAAATGACATCGCCAAAAAATTAACAAGGTAAATTTTCCATTTACTATCAAAAGAAACATACCTTTTGAAGAAAAGTCCATGTAAAATAAACCTGGACTCCCCTTCCACCCAAGTGGTGTATTCTCTCCTTATCGATTCTAAGAAAAGAGATATATCCTTAAGCAAGACGAAAGATCAATGTCCTTAAGAATTCTAAAAAGATCAATACTACTTTCTTGTTGAAAAAATTGGAATAAAGAAGAAATGGTTACCATTTGAGAAATCAACTCATCATTACTTCCCTAAAGAATTTATAAGGCTTAAGTAATAGATGACCCCTCAAAGTTGTCCACATATTTCACTTGGACACCTCAACTATGACATGTACATATTGAACACTTATTCCAACTTGAATTAGAACCATCTAATCATTTTTTTGACAATCAGCTAAAAGTATAAAAAGAGTGTAATACATTCATGGTGACGTGGCAAATTCACCGATAAACAACATACATGTGGCATTTTGAATAAAAATAGCAACAAAATATTGTGAAAAGTGAAGGAAAAATTGTTTTTAAGTTATTTTCCACCCCTACCATCAGCGCTCTTCAATTTTCTTTTTTCAAAACGCCATCGTACAACCACAAATGTTGTCGCCACCATCCCCTTCTTGCAAACCGATCCTTCTTCAATTTCTTCATTTATGTCCTCTTTGTTTCAGGTTTAAATTTTTTTTAAGTGAAGTCAACAATTAATGGTGTAATTGAGTTTATTCAATGTAAATAATTTCAATTCTGAAAAAGGGAGGTCAACAATTAATCTTTTTTTCTTGTACTTCTTTTGTATAAATGGTTGATCATTAAATTGAAAAAAAAACTCATCAACTCCCGATCGTTGTTTTTTTTTTGTTCTTCTTCTTAACTATAAATCAACAATGACAAGATTAGATTCAAGCAATTTTAGTCTTGAAAAATAACAAATAAGCGGCAGCCTTAGTGGTAAAAGTAGTGGTGGTTGCTCAAAAGAGGAGAAAGGAATGAATGTGATGGCAACAATAATGACAAGTTTGGAAAAATAAAATGATCAGTAATGTATAGGAGATAAGTGACTAGAAAAAAAGAATGAAAGAAGGAGAGAGTATGATTAACAATTGTGGTCGCCGGAAAAGTGATGTGACAAACACAAGGAAGAAGAAAGAGGATTATTTTTTTAAAAAAATAAAGTGTCTAACTCGAGCTTTCACGTGCTCATCAAACATGAACACACTTAAAATGCCACATAGGCAAAAAATGGCTCAAGAGGTATCAATTCAAAGTTCTAGAGGTGTTCAATAGATAAAAGTTTTAATTAAGGTGTCTAAGTGAATCATGGGGACAACTTTAAGAGGTTGCTTATGACTTAAGCCAATTTATAAACTACATGGTGAAAAAGATAAAATTGGACAAAGAAACAATTAAACAACTCAAAAAAATCACATACTTGGAAATGAGAAGAAGAAACAAATTACCAATCGTAATCAGCTGTATCATTGTCAGCATTAAGGAACTCATCCGTACGAGTCTTCTGCAGGGGTGCAGCTGATGCAATATTAAATGCAGGTACATGAACTTTAGGTTTTGAAGCATAAATCACTAATTTCTCACTAGTTGGACACATTTATATGATGTCCATAAAGACTCAAAATATTTTTGGAACTTGAAGTCGAAATGCACCTACAAAAAAACAACTTCAACTTGAAATTTATTCTTTATGCTGTCAATTTGAACAAAGAAAGTTCAATAAATGGAAGAAGAACAAAAAATAAACTTACCAAGGGGATCAAATTCATTGAATTTTTGAAGAAATCGATTATTATTTTTGTCATTTCCTTCTTCGCATTTCTAGAAACAATGAAAGTTCCTCATCTGAACTACTAATACTCCCCATTAGAGGATGTCTCTCCCTGTGCCCCATGCCCAATAAGATGTTACTGTTGGGTATGTAGCAAGAATTGATGGGAAATAGAGGGAAGGAGAGGAATTTGAAAAGTTTAGAACTGGAAAGGTTGGAACTTGAAAAGTCCTCTAATGCTTTAATGAAAAAGGCAATTGTCCCTCATCGGTAATGGAAATGAAAATAGGAGAGTCTAAATAAATAAACACTCCTATTAATTGTTAAAAGGGTTAGAAAGAGGGACTCCGCTCGCGCCGTCGTCGTCGTCACTCGCTTCGGCTTTGGCTTTGGCAAATGATCGATCGAGACATAATTTTTTGGACAAATTTATTTTAATAATTTATTTAATTAATTAAATGGCCAAAAAATATTTTCAATTAATTAGTTGATAATTGAAGTTAACCGAAATGTTTTCAACTTTTTAGTTAACCTGACCCGACTCGGATCCTCGCGCGTGACCCGTTTTAATTTCCATTATATTTAAAAATTCCCTCCATGACTGTTCTGAAAGGTTGTAACTTTCAGGAACAGTCAATACCATTTGAAAGTTTGGAATCTTTCATTAATGGTCGTGTTAATTCTGAAAGGGTTGCAACCTTTCAGAATATATTCTTCTTGCCTATAAATACCATTCAATCTTCAGAATATTTCCCTGCGAATTTTTTTTATCTTCCTATCTCTTAAAAACCACATATTTCTTCGTGTACTTTCCTGCTGTGGATTGATTCGCTGACAGTAGAGCTTTTGGTATCTATACTCTACTGATTAAGATCATTTTACCTTGGTAGGTTATTATCCAAATCAAACCTCGGATACTAGAGGGGAATAATTTCCTTAAGGGGACACTATGAATTAAGTGGACTTGATTTTCTTCCTAAATTATTAAAAAGAGCATTCAAGATTCTTGTTAGTATTTACAAATTCAATTA